TTTTTTTTCGAGTTCTGTTTCTCTCTCTCTCTTTTGCCCCATTTTATCCCGTATTTTATTATTTATACATTTTGTTAAATAACTTGCCCATTTTTGTGGCCCTCTGAAATTTATTGGATTGTTTTTTCGCGTGACTAATCGAATGCATATTTGAATATATTTTTTTATTTATTTTACGTTTTATCCGGTTGATTTTATTATTCATATATTTCTGTCAAGTAACTTGTATATTTCTCTGACCCTTTGGCCCCCCAGTGGCACAGCGGCATGTCTACGGACTTACAACGCTAGAAACTGGGTTTCGATACCCGTTGTGGGCAGAGCACAGATAGCCCATTGTGTAGCTTTGTGCTTAATTTCAAACAAACTGACCCTTTAAGATTCATTGGGGTTTTTTACTGGCGTGATTAATTGGCCTTGATCGAATGCATGTTTGACTAGATTATCAATGGACTATTGCACTTGTTATTACTACCATAAGAGAAATTAGTGTGTAGAGATGATATTCAGTATATTAATATACTCATTACAGTATAAAAGCGAAAACCCCGAAAAAAAAACCCGATTTTAAAATATCTAATGAAAACTATAAAACATCTAAAAATAAAAAACGATGTTTTTAAAAATAAAAAACAGAAACCCTAAATACAATTCGCTGCCACATCACATATTATCTCATTTTTACTTTTGAAAAATTTAAGAGTTACAAGGGCCTAATGGTCCTTGGACCTCCATAAGGATCTAATCCTCCTCTAGGAGAAAGATAAAAATCTAATGGCGTTGTTGAACACTCCACAAGACATAAACTTCACAGTTTCTTAACCCTATAGCAAATTTTGATAAAATTCGAAACAACCAGTCCTTATCTATAGCTTCATTGCTAGCAAACTTCAATAACTTTCAAAACAATAACTAAGGGAGCTATTAAATGTTTTTTTCAAAATTCACAAACTTCCTTGATTTAAATTACGTGACGCAAAAAACAACAACAACTCATTACTCATACATTTCTGTTTTTATGAATAACAATTTATACATATCCAGAAAAAAAAAAAAATATGATTTTAAGATCGTTAAGAAGAAAAATTCAACATCGTGTCCAAGGTTAAAAAAAGTCCCTGTCGGCATGCCCCCCCCCCCCCTGGATTTTCAGAAAGGAAAAGGAAAAAAAAAAACTAGATATGTAAACTTATTCTTAATAAGGTATTTGTTATTATATTTATTCAGCCCATGCCAGAAAAATGGCGACTTCCAGTCTTCCATAGAAGAAAAGTATTTCGATTTCATAATGTTTTCAAACTTGAGTTACTTGACCCCCTCTAATTTTTTTTCTGCGGGCGCCCTTGGCTGTCGGTAACATAAAGAACTAGATTTAAGTAATATAAAATTAACTGCACAGATAGTAAAAAAATGTGAAAAAGTAGCCTTTCGTTTTTCAAAGATAATTAGCTCCTGAAAAAAAAATACTTTGTCAATAATTTAGTTTCAGTTGAAAATTATTTTATATATGAATAATACTAACTTTAATTATTTTTCTGTTCCCATATTTGTGTTTCGTTCCTAGTTATTAGCTTTTTATAGATGTAAAATAGTTGGTGTTTTAGCATATAGTTTATTTCGGTAAAAACGACAGGAGCTTGAGAACATTTATTTACAAATGTTGTAAGTGTTTTGCCAATGGCTATCATAACAGATGGATACTTTTTATATAAATATCAGAACGTACACGAAAAAGGAGGATAATGTTATGTGTAGTTTTCTAGTAATACTTTAACACCCCACTCTCTCCCTTAATGTATTTAAATAAAGCTTTATGTAAAACAGTAATGTTCTTATTTTCAGGTGTATTCCCTATTGTTAAGTTCTTCACGAACAGTATAGAAAATGGAAAATTATAGTGTAAACAAATGCACGCGGCACGTCGTTCTCACGCTCTGCTATTAGAATATGTAAAGGTCGTGAAGATTTAATGGCTGCTAAACGCATGGATGACGGGATTCCGCAAGTCCTCTCTCGTCTTTCGCTGCCTGGTTGTCGAGTGTGGTTAATGTGAACGGCGGAAGATAAAGCAACTGAAAATAGATTAATCGATCTCATTCAAATTTATACACGCCTCATCCGATGTCGTATAGTTCCTGATTAAAATGAATCAAATATAAATTCAAACAAGCATCCGATTAATCATGCCTAAAACACCCCAATGAATCCCAGAGGGCCACAAAAATGAACAAGTTATTTGAGAAAATATATAAATAATAAAATAAACCGGATAAAACGTAAAACGAATCAAAGTATGAATTCAAAGAAACCAATGGGGATATATTTATATGATATATGTTTCTTTTTACAGATTATGTATGATTTTGATGCAAACCAATATTCGTTACATCAAAGTGAGGTAACAGAAAAACTACATTTGAAGTAATGTGTCGTTTTGTGGAACTTCGGAATGGTTAGAAACGATAAACTGATGTCTTCCTAAACTACGGTATTAGTAAAAGAGGTTTTCTTGACTTTATTATTTATAAGACCGAACGCTATCTTTCAAGATGTAGGTGTGACTACATGGGAAATTCAATACCTTTCAACACGTACATGCAAACATAGTGTTGCGTCAGCGAGGTCACGTAGTTTATTAGTTAAAAGCTACGTGTTCTTTCAAGGTTTCACAAGATGTAACCACTAATTTTTACTGGCCACTATGTTTCTTATGACATAGTTTATTAGTAAAAAGCTACATGTTCTTCGAAGGTTTCATAAGATGTATCCACCAATCTTTACTGGCCACTCCAACTGTAATGAATATGAAACTTTCTTCATAGCATTCGTTGAAAAGGAACATTGCTTTGTTAGTTTTACATTTGTACAAGTATATAATTGTATACCTCTGAAAGTGTGTATTTTGATAACAATGGTTTCACATTACAATATTTTGTCTTCCTTTTAAATGTTCCAAAATAACGTATGAAAAGAATACATTCATAAAAGGAAGTGTTGAATGACTTAAGGATTAAACTACTTGGGTATCTGGCTTGTGGTTTCCAATACTGATCTAATCTTAGGAAAGTTTGTTTAAAAGGCATGCACACCTTTTTTATTTGTATTACTTATACACAAAGAAGTAGTTAATAATTCAATCTGTATGAATAAATTTTGGAAAGAAGTATTTTTATAACTAATGTATTATTCTCACAGCAACAACTAGTTTATTACACACTCCAATATACTGAATCGTAAAGAATATTATGGCACATATACAGATTGAAGCACTTTTAAACACACGAACTTAATATATTATTTGTTACTTATTTGGAAACTATACATTTTCACAGCTAAAACGGTT